GGAGAGAAAGCACTCAGGCTACCTGAACAGCCATTCTAAGAAACCCTCTTTTTGCTGAGCTACAATCTGCCTGCTGTGGCTCCACCACTTCTTAGAGTAGTATCAATAACCATTTACAATTTGGCAAGCATGTGGGCTCTACGTGCATGTGTGTGTGTGTGTGTACACACTTTAAGTAATCTCCTGACCTTGGGCACATGATTTAATATCTCTGAGTCTGTTTCATTTGAAAATGTGGTTGATAATGATGCCCATGCAGAAGGTGGAGACTTCAGTGAGATAACATATATAAGTTTTATATGTTCAGGAACATAGTAAGGTACAGATTCAATTTAATGCCCTTTGCCTTCCCTCTTTCCTGATTCCCCCCATGCTATACTTGTGTTAACAAGGACAAAAACAAACAAACAAAAGGCAACAACAACAAAAAACAGCTTCCAAATACAGACTCAAATTATTTAAAAATAGCTAGGTCTTCTCCCTACATGAGTCAGCTGGGAATTAATTTGTCAGTGGGAATCCTCTCTTTTGGGACACTCAGCAGAGCACGGGGTGGATCCTCTTGAGACAAGACTTTCCTCCCTTTGTCTGTTATATTCTCTATGAGGTCAAGAAAAATCCTGACCTTCTACCCCTGTGAGACTGGGACAAAAATGAAATTTCTTGGAGAAAAGGGCCAAGTTATAGACAAAAACCAATGCTAATCCCATTGTTCCCAGTCCCTATTATCTCCTCAGGAATTATCAGATACCACTTATGAGTAGGTATTTATGTGTAGATATTTAAAATGCTTGTAGCTGTATAGCCAAAGTCTTAGCATATGATGCCAAAGGGGGCCAGAAAGCTGACCCTTAAAAGCCTTAGTGAACTAATCGTGGTCCAGTAACAGGTGGATCCTTAGTCTTCCAGGCTTAACAACCTGAGACAAGGGAACTTAAAAAATGTCTAGAGTTTTGCAATCACATACTGGAAAATGATTAAGCATAAAGAATACAGGCAGAATAATATAGTCATTGGTATCACAGTAAATCACCCTGCCACAGTTCCACTGGTAAACTGCTCTCAGAGACCCCACAGGTTACTGTTATAGCTGATTTCTCCTGGGCAGGCTTTTTAAAATATATATATATATCTTTATTGATTTCAGAGAGAGGAAGGGAGAGGGAGAAAAAAAGATAGAAACATCACTGATGTGTCATTGATCTGCTGCCTCTTGCACATCCCCCATGGGGATCGAGACCACAACTCGGGCATCTGCCCGGACCAGGAATTGAGCTGCATTCTCCTGGATCATAGGTTGATGCTCAACCACTGAGTCACTCTGGCCAGGCATCTCCCAGTCAGACTTCGAAGGGCTGGCTGGGATGGTCCAGATCCTTGTTCACATATGGCTTTAGTGTGGCTTCCCAGTATTTGGTCAGAAACAGAAGAAGTTAATAGCAGGGGGGTACCTACAACTAGGAGATGTCATACCATTTGGTGGACAGATAGGGATGTGATGTGGCAAAAGCATCCTTCGGTGTTAATTAGATTTTCCAAACTAAATGCTTTGGGAAAAAGAAATGGCCTCACTGGGCAAAGATCTTAGAGAGATAAACATCTTCTCGTGGGGAGTGGTGTTTGATGGGGGTGTTGAGTGTGATCCAAGGTCACATCAAAGCCAACATCACAACCCAGAACATGGCTCCATTCCAACTCTCTCCCACCCAGAAGTGCAATCAACACCAATTGATTTGGGGGGTCCTATTGTTACACTTATCCCCAGTTGGTGGAGGTGGGCACACTGTCTTCACCCAAGCCCACTTCTCCTCTCCCTTTCTGTATAGTCCTCTCTCTACTCATCACCCAGGACGTTTACCCACTCCAGAGTTTTACTGAATTATCCCCAACCCATTATCCCAAACTTGCTCTCTGTCGGTGGCTGGGCAATAGGAAAAATTAAAGGGTGTTCTAGTGGATGTTAAAACTCTGGAAACCTCATAGGTATACATCTGTCCTATAGATATTTTTTCTCCCCTTCCCAGCCCTCTGTCCCCCATCCTTACTACTACAGAGGCCAAATGGAAGCACAGCCTTCCACACTCCAACACATAACCCAGGTTCTCTCTGACTGACAGGTCCATCCCTCAAAACTGTTTTTGATGTCATGTAAACACTTCAGAAATTCTGACTGTCATCACTTCTTCTTTCTGAAATCAATAAAGATGTATTTTTTTTAAATAAACAAAATGTAAATCAAAACCACAATGAGATGCCATTCCATACTCACCAAGATGGCTATAATAAGTAATAATAATAACAACAAATGTTGGCAAGATATGAAGAAATAGAAGAACTTGTATGTTGCTGGTAGGAATGTAAAATGGTGCAACCACTGCAATAAACAATTTATTCGTTTCTCGAAAACTTAAACACAAGATTCCCATATGACCCAGCATTTCCACTCCTAGGTATATAGCCAAGAGAAATGAAAACACATGGTCAACACTGAAGTTTTTACACAAATATTTATAGCAGCATTAGTCATAATAGCCAAAGGTGGAAACAACCCAAGTGGAAGAAATCTTACATCATAGGGTTAAGTGAAGATAAAAGAAAATTGTATTCTATAGGTAACATGACCCCAAGTATTTCAAATGCACTTCCTATGGTAACACTGTGGGAGGTGGGCAAATGAGTGACATTTTCCTTTCTACTTTCAAATTTTCTTTTTTTTAATCAAAGTAGTGCTTTATGAAATGAAACATTTCATACAATATGAACATCAATATAATTATAATTGTAAAAAAAATTAATAACAAGGATAAACTGATTTTCAGATTTCCAAATTAGATTCAACTGTACATTTACACAGGATTGTCTTTGCATGAAGCCCAAAGGGAACAGCATAAAAATGAGTGTTCTTGTAGCCCCTTGATTTGTGATGATCAACAGTTTGTTAGAAAAGCAGCTGCAGGTTTGTCACCTAAGGTCTGAGACAGTAGAAGCAGAAGATTCAGTATCAGCAGAAAAATGCCACCAAGCGAGCTGGACAAAAGAAACAAGGATATGACCAAAGGCTGCTGCCAATGCTGCCTTAATGTATACCTCTTCTCTCTGCAGGACACAGAGGCCAAAGTTTCTTAATGAGCACATTTACCACTGTAATCAGAAAGATAATTTATTTTTAAAATATCTACTACGAGGCAAGCTGAGTTCAAAAAAGTAGAGGTTTGGAATATTGTGTTAAGACAAAGCGGACACTTACACTGAAATTATGTATTTGGATACATAATATCCCTCATAGGAAAACTGTAAAATACAGAAAACATAAAGGTGGAAATTTAAATTACCACCCTCTAACCACTCAGAAATACCTAGTTGATTTTTGAACAGAATTGGGCATAGGCTGTTTAGAGCAACGGTCCTCACAGTACAGTGAGTTCGTCAGCATAATTTGCTTAGCAAGTGCGAGCCTATTATGTGCCAAGCCTGCTATATGAGAAGTGTGGCTCTCTGAACAGAGGACAGAGAATACTAAAAGGACAATTATTGGTCTTTGGTTGCCAAGCATGCTTTCTCACTTCACATATGGATAATTTAGTAACCTGAACTTCCTTTGGGAAACAGCCCTTTCCAGCCCCAGCTCATGTGGTTTTGGTGGGACTGATCCCAGCCAACCTAAAGTCAGAATGACCTAGGCTTCAGTCAATCAGTGAGTTCAACTTCAGGAGCCACAAGGATTCCTTAGTCTAGATGAATACATGTCAAGGGCAGTACTTTTGTTAAAAATGTTGAAAAGAGAAGTGGACTCTACTTCTTTTGTCAACATTTTGTAAATTAAAATCCCCTTAGAAGGAGGCTGCGATGATGAATGGGTTGTGATGTCAGTTTAGCAGATGGTGGCCATGCTCAGTTACTAGCTTGTGCATTCTTCTAATATGGCCCTTCCCATTCACTACTCTGCTCCCTGATGTTTCTGTCTCCCCAACCAGATGGTCAACTTTCTCTAAAGCAGCGATTTTCAAACAGTGTGCTACCAGAATTTTTAAACCATGCAATACCTGACTATTTAGTCAGGGGCACTGAACTATTTTCTCTTATGTCGTCAAATAAAAAAAATCACAACAGCCAACACAATAGTTAGCTGGTCTGAANAGTCAGGGGCACTGAACTATTTTCTCTTATGTCGTCAAATAAAAAAAATCGCAACAGCCAACACAACAATAGTCAGCTGGTCTGAGTGCCCTGTCTTGAACCATAAATATAAAGGTCATTTAAGAGTCGCATCTTATTGGTCACGTTGCAAAATACAGATATGTCTGATTAGTTAATTCTCGGTACCAGAAATTCTTATATACAAGTATAGGCATTTGACTTTTTTAAGTCACTTTGGAGCAAAAAAGTAAGTAAAAACTATTTTTTTGTAAATCAATAAAACATACCTATTCTTTTTGTCAGATTGGCAAAAATATATATTTTTGGTGTGCCACAGAATTTTAGTAATCAGTTTATATATGCCACGAGATGAAAAAAAGTTCAAAATCCTGCTCTAAAGGAAGGAGACACATCTCCACTATGTTTAGCATAGGACAGAGAAGGGCCTAAACACACGTGTGAAAGAACTTACCCTGATGATCTTAGTAGCATGGAAATGAGGTATTGGTGGTTCTATCACTGGGGACTCAGGTTTCTGGGCTCCAGTACCTCCACTGGTCGATACCACATCTTACAGTCCCCACGCTTTACCCTTGGGTTCCTGCTCTGGCTGAAGTCTGCTCTGGTGTCTGCTCTGAGTCATCACCTGTGGGTACTGATGCGGTTGCTGCATATTTCTCACACCCAGAGAGCACCATCAGACAGGAGGCCTGGGGGCGGGGAAGCTTTCATAGAAAGCCTTTTAGGATGAAGCACTACAAAACCGGAGGGGAACTCAGGTCACTAAGCTCACTTGTACCTCCTTCCTTTTCTGGGCACTAAAAGAGAGCACAGAGAAACACCAGCAGCTCCGACCTGGAAAGATGCAGCCACCCCTGCTCCTGCTCCTGCTAGCCTTTTTCCTACTCCTCGGGACAGAAGCAGGTGAGTGACCATCCCCACCCTCACAAGCCCAATCCATCATCCAGTGGGCACAGACCAGGTCCTCTCCCTTCTGAACATCCTTGATCTATCTATTACCAGGAATGTCCTGAACCCCAACTCGCCCCCCCCGGCCCCCATCTC